AACTACTTTAGAGTTTTATTTAAGATTTCAAAATAAAGAAAAATATATCAGACATCTAGAATTAGAAGAACAATATAGAAATCGGCCTACCCTACATTTAACATTTTATAAATAAGAAATAAAAGATTCTAAGAGTTAACTCAGTCTCAATCTATAAAAATTGTCAGTGCCTACAAAATTTTATGTTGTTAGAGATAATGAATTTACAAGTTAAAATCTATTGCACTGATATACAGGGCCCATTCTCAAATACCTATTTTAGTTGGAGGTAGCAAAAGGATATAGTTCATTTCCAAAGTTATTTGAGTTGTAACTTCAAAATTTTCTCATAAAACCTTTAACCTGAGAAATTAACTGAAATTGCTCTCAAATTCAAGGTGGTTAATCCATGAACTTAAATAAGATGGAAACCTAAATTAAGTGAGAGAATTTTATTTTAATTCTAGTTTTTATAAAGCCATTTACTTTTTTTTTTTTAATTGGCAGCAGGATTTTTAGTTTTGGAGAGCTTTCAGGAACCAATGAAAAGGGTTGTCAACTAAAAGGCCTTAGAGTATTTTTAATTAAAATCACTGGCAAGAAAGAAGGAAGGCAAACCAATTGTAACTACATCTCAAGTATCAAGAGGTCTACAAAATAATGCTTTGAGGATGGATACAGCCAGAATGTGGATGTAAAGGATTTTATGAACAGTAAAAACCAAGATTATTAAAGAATGAGAATTGCTCAGAAAAGAAAGGCAAATAAGGAAATTTTCATCTTAATCCTTTGGCATCTTTGTATTTGCATTTAGGGTATAATGAAAAACACTGGCTTATCATTTCCAGCAATGTTTTACATTACTCATGTATCTGGAAAGAGTTTTAAATCTCTTGCCATGACATAAATGGTATAGAATATAGATTTGTATAATGATCAATGATGTTCTCTTTTGAACATCCTTGACTGTAGGTACACATGTACAGAGCATGAACATGAACTGTCATGTTCAAGGAGAGAGGAATTCTGAGTGTATTATTTTATCTTTAAGATATCTGTGCTCTGCTGGGGGAGGGAGCTCATGGATGTAATACTAGCACTCTGGGAGGCCAAGGCAGGAGAGGATCGCTTGAACTCTGGAGATCCAGATCAGCCTGAGCAAGAGCGACACCCCATCTCTACTAAAAATAGAAAAAGTTAGCTGGGTATGGTGATGTGCGCCTATTGTCCCAGCTACTCAGGAGGCTGAGGCAGGAGGATTGCTAGAGCCCAGGAGTTAGAGGCTGCAGTGAGTTACAATGATGCCACTGCACTCTTCCCCGGGGTGACAGAGTGAGACTCTGTCTCAAAAAGAGGAAAAAAAAGGATATCTGTGCTCATAGTTGAGAATATTGCAAAACTGGTCATTGGTAATATAGAAAAATATTCACAAAATGGGAATGAGAGTTTTGAACCTTTATAAGTCATAAAATTCTTCTTATTCCTGACAAAGAAGATAATTTCCTCTGCCAAAAAAAATCATAAAACTACAAAACCTTTGGACTTACCTGAACAGATATGTGTTTATATCTAAGTATTTGATGCCTACCATTTAATATAAATTGTCATAAAAATTATAAATCAGATGAATAATACACCCTTCCCACAGTGCATATGATTTCAATTAAATGGGGAAAATGTTTCAAATCACTTATTATATTCAATCTTAAAGCATTAATGATGATACATTTCTGACCATATTTCATAATTATAATCAAGATAGAAAATGTATCCATCAGGGTCACAGCATTTAGAAAAAAAATGTACAAATCTCAACAAGTATATTTAGAAAAAATTATAGGAAAACATAGGATCATTCGAGTTTTTAAAGAAGTCATTCTAGGGTATATTTCCTTTGTCCTCTTTTCTCATTGTAAGCATCCACATAGCAAGAGTTATTTTCTTTCTAACATTTGGAAACAGTATTTCTATTTTCTCAGACTGCCTTCTCATCAACTTAAACATCCTCAGCTTGTGTCCAGGTATTATTCAAGCCAAACCTGACTTTGAAATGCAAGAGAGCAGCCCTCACAGCTGATTTTTTTCATGTTTTGATCTCTTGCCATGCAACTGCTTCATAAGGTCAAAATCCCTCAAAGCTTTGACCTGAATAGCAATCAAACTCGCAGGCACACAATGTTCTTTATATGAGCACAATCAAATGCCTTGTCATCTCAGTCACAATTCCTATACCCTGTCTCACAATAACGGGTTTTTATCGTTATGAGAACTTTGCTCATTTTTATACCAATCATTTAAAAGAATCTTTAAAACAATGGAGTATATTGTATGAATAATCATTAATGAGACTGATTTCCCCCCCACACACAAATATGCTGGAAAATATGCATACAAGTGAGCTTTGTTCTTCAAAGTTACAATCTTACAGTCTACATTCTTGAAATTCTTCTTATGTAATTTCGATCAAGCTCAATTTAACATGGACAAAAGAAAATCAATTGCATTTCTACTTATATAATACTATTTCTTTGTTCTCTCTCTTTATATCCTTTTAATTCCTCTTTCCCTGGATGGCTTCATTTCTATCTTCCTAGGAGCTCAAAAACCCCTAGCAAAGACTTGGATTCATCCTATGATAGTATATTTTTGAGAAAGCCAATGAGGGAAAAACTGAGACATGAGCTTAAGAAAGGTTCAAGCTTAGCGATCTGGGAAACAACTTGCCTAATGTTAAGTCCATTTATCAGCCCCTCGTCTGGAATAGGAGTGTATAACTGTTTGAAAATAAAATAAAAAGAAATAATAGTGAACCACAAAAAGCCCTCCAGACTGACTAAACTAGATGGCTTACATATCAAGAGCACATTTATTCCCCCTTCAAAATGCTTTCAAGTCTATGGCTTTATTTTATCCTTATCACATCACTGTGAGAAAGTAGAAAAAATACATACTGTAACACATGTTGGACATCATTTTGTAAAGAATGTACAAATCCAAGCTAGTGCTGTTTTATTACAGAGTTTTAAAAGTTGGAAAATAAGAAGATAAGTAAATTGCCTAGGTGGTATTCTCATAACATTTAGTTCATTACAAATAAGGCTTCTAATGCTTTTTTACCAATTGAAATAATCAAATCAGTAACATTTTGATGAGATATATTAACTTCATCCAAAAATAGTCCCATCAAAAAATAGTCCCTTTCCAAAGGAATGAGCTTACTTAAATGTTTTATTCTTGGAAGGTATCCATTCTCACAATTTAGCTAGCATTGTAAAAATCTAGAATATAAAGATTGCACATATGCTATTTTCTTTCTAATTTAGTGTTTTTAAAAATATGGTTTGCAGACTTTATCAAAAGCTTAGATATTTAGATGCAGATTATTCCTGGGTCCTTTCCCTGACCTGTTGAATGAGATTTTCTGAGCAAAAGGTCTAGGAATATCCATTTTAATTAGCTCACCAGGTGATCATTATGCCGACTCAAGTTTTATAACTACTTTATATAATGCGAATGAACCAGAACATGATCTATGGTTAACAGTTACACCTCCATAAATATCTCTTAAAAGGGATGGATTTCAAAAACAACTTTCTTTATCAAAAAATGGCAATCATTCTTAACATGGTAACTGATCATTTTATGGCAGTGATAATCTATGGAACCAATGAGTACATGTTGGAATAATATCATTGTTGGGTTAGAAAATATCAAATTTACTAATACCTTATATATTTATTACATAGATACCAATATATGGCAAAGTAACCATGGGCTGATCACATGTAATAACAGAAAGCATGATCTAGTAGTAGAATCACTGTTAGATCAATTTACTGCTAAAAATTATGTTTAATGGAAGACAAATGAAGTTTTTGGTTACTTACTGATTGTATGAGAAATTATGGCAATTTATACTCATGTTTCTTCAATTTAAATTTTGAATGTGAATTGAAGCTTAAAAGGCATATTGAACTGTGCTGATAATCATACATGTTGGCTGATCGATCATATTTTCTTAAATTTTATTTCTGGAAGCAATACTTCATTTCTTCAACAAATATTTGCTAAGTAGTATGTAACAGACATGAGTTCTTAAGAAAACAAATTTCTGCAGTTGTCTTATGCAGAGACTATATTTGACTAAAATCTATTGAATTTTAGTCATTGCTTTGATAGAGATGTATGCATGGTTCATTAATCTATGAGTTGTGATCAATTAGTAAAACTTAGCCCCTATAATACAAAACTCTATGGCAGAATAAGTTAAATACTATCGTATATAATGTTAATATCTTGAATTACTATCCATTATTCCACCATCCAACTACATCAGAAAATAAAATTTCTACATTTAAAATACCCTATTTTCTTTAAATCACTAAAAATTTAAAATTTCTTAAAATAAAACTACATTATTGCCTACAAATGTAACTGAGAAGTTTTCCTAATCTACAACTCATATGTGTTAGTGTACCCATGTACCTTCATGACTTTATGAAATCAATAGTCCACAGCAGAAAGTCCAATGATCAGATCATCATTTAATAAAAAGAAGACTTCATAGAAATCAAAGGACCTAGGCCCTAGTCTTATTCCTACCACTAGCTTTCCTTGCACAATTTACTTTTCTTCCCTCAGCTTCATTTTTATCCAGAGTAAAATGGGGTTGACTAATGGCCCTCATGATTCTAAGAACCTATGATTTGGTGTTAGATTGTGATGATACCATTCCCCAGCATTTTGTCTACCTGCTCAAAGTTATTCAGCTTGCTGTTTCTATTAGACTGGAAGGGACTACACTCTAGAGCAGTCACTATTTCAGCGAATTAGTACTCATTCCCCCTACTTCTCCCTAACTCTCTAATAATAAGACAGGCAAGAGAGCCATGTTTTTATCACCTCAATATTGGGCAATACTAATCCTGTGACATCTTTCATAGGGTTATAGTATTGCTCTCTTATGGCAGGTTTCAAAAATATCTGGGATAATCGATAGTATGAAAATTGACATCACTAACCTGTGCTGAACTCTTTTCAAGCTTTTGGGATAAATTATCCCAACTCTGGGCAAAGTTTTCCAGCCAAGCTTCCATCTTTTGGGTCACTGACTTATTTTTCAGTGTTGAAAGAAGATCTTGGTTGAGTGAACGGAGTTTGTCGATGCTTTGCTTTTTCCTTTCCAGATCTGCTTTCAAAATCTATTAAAACAAGGAAGATTACAGAATAGGTCTAAGTTACATTTTATAAACCACTATGGTTCAATCTGTTTTTTCATGTATTTTCTCATTTGTATGGATAAGAAATGATTGTGATCATTGTGATCATGCCTGCAAAAGATCAAGAGTCTATAAAAATATAGGTAGAAAATTATCATCTAAATTATCTTCCCAAGAAGCCTTAAGAGAAAATAAAATCAGAAGTGAAATAAAGATCTATTAGAGGCTCTTAAGAAGTACTTTGAAATATTTGAATGACTGCCACGTGAAAAGGTAGTGTTTTGCTTCAAAAGGCAAAACAGGGATCAACACATGGAAGCTACTTTTTAACATTCACAAGTAGAATGCATGGCTCTTGGATGATAGTGAATTTCTCCATAACTACTGATAGAATTCAAATAAAAACTGACGATCAAGTGCCAGGAAGACAGAAAAGAAGCTAGTGGGTTGAGAAGATGAGAATGGCTAAGGGGCCTTGCCATTCTGAAATGTTATGATTATTTGGATAAAATTGCAATATTATTTATTTCCACAATTTTAACATTCTGTTCATTATTTGAAGATAAAATATTCATTATATGGTTTTCTGGCCTTAAAACTTTTGTAGCATCAGTTATTCAATTAACATTTGACTATTTGAATAATTATTTTCTAGGACTAATTTTAGAGCCCATTAATAAAAAGAATTAAGTCATTGAGTATGATGCAAATCCTTCAGAATCTCTGCCTATTTTCTAAATACTTATGTGTTTTGTGGAGTAACTTCTATACCATTTATATTTCGAAAGTTCTCATGTGCTATAGAGGGTTACATATTCCCTTTGGTTTATCTGGAATGAATAAACAAGCAAAATAAATTACGTGAAATCAGTAGATCAGAGCAGATTATTCTAATTTATCCACTAAGGTCACCCTGTACATGGGGAAATCCAATTCCCAGGTAGCAAATGATAGTTCCTGACTTAACTTGTGAGCATAGAAGGAGAAGAAAAAGAAAAAAAAAGGAGAAAATAATTTTATAGCAACTTTATAACCCCATCTTTTTGACAGTAGCAAATACAATGAATATAAACTAAATTGTGATACCTGTCTTTCAAAAACAAATGCAAATACAACAAACATTACATATGTCAAAGAAATTGTCAGGAAACAGATGCACCAATTGCTCATGAAATGAAGTGTCATCGACACAGAACAGTCAAGATACCCCCCTGCAAAGGATAGTTTATGTAGCTCATTTTGGCATGCCACCTGCATTGATAACTTCAAACTGCAGAATGCTCCAGTGTCTCCTTCAACTAGTTTGTACTTTACTCAGAATCTGCTTCATCTGCTGTATTTTATATTGTAGTTCACGGCATTTTTAAGAGGAAACAAAGTAAGGTTTAAAGTTCATTTCTAATTTTTCTCAATAATTATTATTTTTCTCAGTTTGAAACAATGTAATAGACCAAAACATAAATTAAGATATTAGAACTTACATTCATATCAACATAAAACTCTCAGTGTGGGAGCTTAACAATACATAAGTTTTACGTATTCATTTTGTTTAATTCACATGTTAACTTTCCATTAAATTTAAGTGCATACTTACATTTGTAGTAAAACAACAGTTTATGCTACCTGCATTGAGCTGAGAGCCAAATTTGAGTGTCAGCATATATTCCTCAAGTTATTTTACAGAGTCTCATTTTCCTTTTTCTTTATTAACTTTTGGCATGCATGTATTTTGTCAAAGGCCACCACACATTCTTTATGGAAAGAGGCATAATATAAATGAAGACATATATTTTAAAATAAAAAGATATAAGTACAACTCTTTTTGGCTAACTTTCTCAGAGCGTAAGAACTATTTTAAATAGCCCTGCATGTAAGGCTGAGGGACGTACTGATTGTTTAAGCTAAATATGTAATGATTTGGGAACATTTCAGAATAGCAGTATGAGAATTATGTTTAACGAAGAGGATTGTAATAGAAATCTATGAGTAACCTCAAGTTACCTAAACAAATGTAACTAAGCCTTCTGTGTTAATATCAAACCAAATGAAAAAGCATTTATTTGGTGTGCATTACAAAAATGAAAGTGAAAGTCACCATTGAAAAATATAATTAGGAAAAGTGTACTCAAGATAAAATAAAAATGTGTTATAATGAAATTGTGTAATTATTGAATCAATATATTTTTACATAAATCTATACAACAAAACACTGAACTAACCAAATCCTCTACCTAATAAATTCTAGCTATGAGATTTTTTAAAAAATGGTGATGGCAGATTAGTTGTTTGTCCTCAATTTCTCCCTCTCTCCTCTTCTCCCCATAATCTCCCAGTTCACAAAGGACTCTCCCAGAATCATTAGCAGAGGGAAGAAAGGAAATCTAAGTGGTGCCAGATACATTGGATCATAGTAATGAATTACTTTGTCCTGTCTATCCTTGGATGTCAAACCTTTTATACTTGGATTTTATATGTGCATATTAAATAACTATGATTTAATTGTTACTAATTATCATATAAAATACATCTTTCTGCATATTAAAAATTGATCTTGGGCCATGAGTGTTAGAGACCCACAGAGTTCTAAAAAATTTAGGAGGCAAAAGGAAGCTCTAGAAAACTTAAGCAAGGCAAAGGTCAACTGGGATCTTAAAAGAAGACATACATTTTATTTTCATAGAAGCAAGGTACCTGGACCTACCTCCAGGAATAAAGGCAGGAATAAAGACCATGGTCAATAAATTAGATTGGGTCAGTAGTAGATACGGGGCAGAGACAGATATATTGTTCAAGAAGACAGAGTACACAGGTTTTATCTGGTCAAGGTTAGAAGGTGATTCAAAGTGAGCAAAGAATATATACTTATAAAAGGCCCAGGAAACCTTTACTCTATTCTCATCAGGAGTATTCATCAGAGAATAATGTCAAGGCAAATTCTATTATGCTGACAAAACTGAATTCTGTACCTATATTATCTGTGGTTACTTATCTATATGTAAGAAGTAATCAGATTAATTCTAATCATCAATTGTTGTACTTAGGTAGATTGATCCATTGCAGAGGTTCTCAACGTGAAGAAATATCGGAATCACCTAAAAGGCTTGTTAAAATGATGATTATGGGGATCTATCTCTAGAGCTTTTGAGTAAGTAGGTCAGGGGAGGGCCTAAGAATTTGCATTTCTAACAAATTTCCAGGTGATGCTGATGCTGGTGGTCTGGGGACTATACTTTGAGAACCAAGAATTCTATTTGGAAGAATTCTTTAAGGGTCACCACAGGAATTGAGGTCAAAGTAGCAAATCATGGCAAAAACAGCACTGTCAACAGGGACTTGTTAAACTCCATCCATGTCTTTTTTTTTTTTTTTTTTTTTTTTAAACAGAGTCTCACTCTGTTGTCTTGGCTAGAGTGCCATGACATCAGCCCAGCTCACAGTAACCTCAAACTCCTGGGCTCAAGCGATCCTCCTGCCTCAGCCTCCCCTGAGTAGCTGGGACTATAGGCATGTTCCACCACTCCCAGCTAATTTTTCTTTTCTTTTTCTTTATTGTTTTTTAGACAGAGTCTCATTCTGTTGCCTGGGCTAGAGTGCCAAGACATCAGCCTAGCTCACAGCAACGTCAAACTCCTGGGCTCAAGCAATCCTCCTGCTTCAGCCTCCTGAATAGTTGGGACTACAGGCATGTCTACCATGCCTGGCTAATTTTTTCTATACATTCTTAGTTGTCCAATTAATTTCTTTCAATTCCTAGTAGAGATGGGGTCTCGCCCTTGCTCAGGCTGATTTCAAACTCCTGACCTTGAGCAATCTGCACGCCTGGGCCTCCCAGAGTGCTAGGATTACAGGCATGAGCCATCACGCCTGGCCCATCCATGTCATTTGATCCCACAGCCATTTGAGAGTGTTTTCAATTCCACAGTACTCTCATAGCTCTTACACACTATATTCTCTTGGATCACGACCCTTCCCCAGAGCTATCCTTCCCTGGAAAATACCAACAGTTCTTACAGCAGCAATACACTTCCCCAGAAACAGATTTCTTCTAGAATTGGGCCTTCTCATGATAACTGACATGTTTCTATAAACTTTAGTATTCACCTCATAAAAGCCACTGTTTCTTCACTCCTTTAACCTTTGTCTTTTATGCCAAATAAAAAATCATTTTTGATAATAAAAATCATAGACCTACATGCTGTGGATATGGATCCCATAGATCTAGAGGAAATCGAATACTAGACTGATTCCCTATTTCCCACTCCAAGGAAATGTGTGAGACAATCCTATAGGTTATTAGTGATAATATTTCAAAACAAATTATACTGATTGTAAATAAAAGAGTTGTAGCACAGTGTGTCTATACCTAGGTATATAGTAGGAACTGGTGACAGATGGCACCTGTTTTGGGTCTCAGATTGTGACATATTTTAATGAACATTAAATTCTTATTCACTGCCTGAGTCAGCAGGGGAATTTTACCTCAAATTCGAGACCAGCTGTCAGGTTTTGTTAATTGGCTTAAACTATCAAATGATAAGACTTATACAAAACATATTTTCACTTTGTTCACAAGTAAGGTGACATAATACAAATTTTAATCATATTGGGAAATTATTGAGACTTTGCTAAGAGAACACTTTCATGGCCCTGAGGCTAGCAATGTCTTTTTCTCACAAAAATGTCAACATAGTGGCACATGATTGTTAGAAATGACAGTTCTCAATTGAAATTACTCTTTTCCAAAGGATCCATGTTATGAAAAATTTTGAAATAGCTTGAAAAGCCTGGGCCTCAGTCTTAATGTCTTCATGCTCATTTTCACTCTGCTATTGTTGTTATATGATACCTTATATAGGCCATGTTTTTTTTTTTCTTTTTCTGAATTTTCTCTTCTGAAATAACCTGAGGATCTCATCCTAAGGAATTTTAGACATGTAATTGGATTGAGGATACACTAGATGACATATAAGGTTTCAGCTAGCTTTAACATATTTGGATTTTGTCAATCTGTAGCTTCCTCAGAACAACATTCTCTCTCTCTCTTTCTTTTTTTTTTTTTTTTTTTTTTTTTTGAGAAAGAGTCTTACTCTGCCACCCAGGCTAGAGTGCCATGGCATCAACCTAGCTCACAGCAACCTCAAACTCCTAGGTTCAAGAGATCCTCCTACATCAGCCTCCCTAGAGCAAGTGGGACTACAGGCACGCCACCACACCTGGCCAATTTTTCTATTTTTAGTAGAGACGGGGTCTCACTCTTGCTTAGGCTGGTCTCAAACTCCTGACCTCATGCAATCCTCCTACCTCAGCCTCATGGAGTGCTAGGATTACAGGTGTGAGCCGCCACGCCCAGCTAGAACAACTTTCTTGACTAGTAAATTCAATCAAGGATATATGTAGTAATATGCACTAGGTATTAAAATTTGGAGATTATCATGCAAAATAACTTTGTAATCTTTGATACAGGGTATTTTCCAAAGATAACTATAGGAAATCCTCCTGTCTCAGAATGATCTCTATAATTTGACCTTGGTGTTTCTCCATAAAGAGATGAAGTCTAATTCCTTTTTCTTAAATCTGGGCAGGCTATGACTGTTTCAACCAACAGAATATGATTAATAACTCCCATTATGATAGACCATTCAAAGTATATGCTTCTGTGTTAAACCAGCAATATAATGTGGCTATTAATTAGAGAGCATGACTACATTTTAATAGTCAGTGGTCACCAACTTATTTATTGAAAGGATTCAAATTTTGACTGAGAAGAAGAATGTGAGGAATTTTTTGCTTTAAGGTTGTGTAGTCCATGCATCCTTTCCTCTAGGTATGATAACATCTGTCCCGAATTTATCCTTTTCTCTCCACAGAATGTGACAATGTGTACCACTCTTTGCCTTTTTGAAATATTTATTCTCTTACTTTTGTGATACTACTGTCTTCCTTCTCCTTGTAAACCTGAACCACATCTGCTTAATTTCTTTTTGTAAACTTCTTGTCCTCGATCCACTCTTTGATTATAGATATTTCCCTGTTTTCTGTCCCCTTTACTTATTGTGTCACTCTACACAATCCCTTTAAAACATCTTGATTGCTTCTGAATTAATAACCAATCCTGAACCCTTTTCTGAGACTCTAATTGTATATTCAGCTAATGGAATGACCTTTTTCACTTGGGTGTCTCAAAGACATTTTAGGCTCAACATACCCAAATCTGAAATAATTATCAATCTTTTAATTCCAGCAATTCCTTTTCTACTCTTCTACCAGGGATACTAACCCTTCTAGGAATCCAGTCACCCAAATAAAAATTTGAGGAACCATTCCAAACTTCTGTCTTTTGTCTGCCTCCTCATCTTTATACCTAACACTACTTAGTTCAGGTCTTCTAATTAGTCCTCTTATTATCAAAAGTCTTACTACCAAAGAATATTACAAAAATACAAAATGATTGTTATGAAACTCTGAATGGCTTCCCCTAAGCTGTAGAACAAAATTACAAATACAGTTAATATTTTTGCACTAATATTTTTAAACAACATAGATTTCTTTTTGAACTATTTTTTGTAGTAATATCACTTGAGAAAGCATATATTCTTTGAGCAATGATTTCTTATCAATAACAAGCCAGCTTGTAATAATGAGTCATATATAAGTGAATGTATTTTAAAGACCAATGAGGTTAGTTAGTATGGAGCAAAAATTGTACTATATAAATAAATATTTGTAAAGTGATACATACTGAAAATAGCTGGGAAAATTTATTTTAGCTTTAAAGAAATAATTTAAGTATTATGCAGTACAATACATAAGATCAATACAGATATAAATAGATCCATTGAGGTAAAATTATGAAACATTATTTATAATAGACTCTTATAATATTTAATAGTTAATATCAAGTTAGCATTTAATAGAATTGATCCATTAAATATTTAAATGAATCCTAATTATGAAATATGTCATTGAAAAATTAAGCTCCTAATATTAGATTGGCCTCCCCTTTACTGGCAAATAATGAAATTCACTATGTAAGATAAATTTTGAAGTTATTTTTTAATCTTGTAAAGACCAACTAAAATCAATGTCTGAATGAAGCCTTCCCTGAAGTCCTTTTACTGCCAACGAAATTTCATTTCTCAAACCACATGAGGCACTTATAATTAATGCCATTTGGTTTGCTTTAATGTTTTTTGTTCTTGTTTGTCAAACTAAGGTTACCTTGTATGTGAGGATAATGATCACTTGTATCTCTCATATATTACTCTGAGAGTCAATTTTGGTCTATTAGTTTAGGACTATGCTGCTAAGAACTTTATGGAAAGCTCACAAATACGTCTTAGTGTTACTTTTTGATTTTATTGAAGTCTTCTTCATATATGCTGTATTTTTTTCAGGAGTACAATTTTGTTTAAAAAAATCAAAGCTGAAAATCTACCTATAGCTTTTCCCATTTTAATTTAAAAAAGTAACAATATGATATCTTCTTTGAATAATCTATGATCTAAGCAAAAATAATGAACATTGGTTTAAGATTTGATAGCACAGAAAAGACCAAATAATATACACTACTGGATATTCTAAAAAATTATTGAAAGCTAAAAAGTACATACAGCCAGTTTTTGAAGACTTGATAACATTTCATTTTGATCCTTAAAGCCAGTAGTGGGAATCTTGTTCAATGCATCTTCTTTTTCTGAAAGCCACGAACTAAAAAGGCACTGAAAGAAATCAAAGAATTCCAAAGAAGAAAAAATTATTAAAAGTAAACATTTTTTTTTGTTTTCCTATTTAAGATCTCTCCATGTCTTTCACTGCTACAATTTCATGCACGTGACTCACCTGTTCTTCAGTAAAACGCTGCCATTTGAGAAGGATGTCTTGTAAGAGAACCCAGCGGTCTTCTGTCCACCTACAGATGTTTGCCCATCGGTCTCCCAATACCTGAAGAAGAGACAATCCACCACAACATCAGAAAAAAATTGTTAACTGAATTTTATTAAAAACAGCATGAATGAGTTGCCAAAGCATTTGATTTGAGTCTGTTATGTATACTAGAAGTCGTAAAGAACATGCTTCCCACAACTGCTCACAATTAGGTAAGCACTGTGCCTTTCATTTGTCTTTAGATTATTTTACTCAGTCATTCCCCTTTCATTGAAAAGCAAAGATACTTACAAGCAATCTGAAGTGGTTATTGTACCACTATTTAAAATGTTTCCCCAGAAAATGTAAGCTAGTAAAGACATAAATATAGAATTAGAGAGGATTTTGCAATGAGAAAATGTAAAATGTGTATCCTTCTTAGGTCTGAAAATACACCTCAAAGAATAAAAGTCTAACTAATAAATATAATGCCTCAAAAGATGCTTAATTGAAGCAATCCTGCATAATTAAAATTACCTAACGTCTGGATTGTAGAAGAAAATTCTTAGTAACTCAAATTCTATTCATATGTAGATAAAATAATCTGGATTATTAGTACAAAATTATTGAAATTCTCCATCTCTAAACTACTCTAGTGAGAAAATTATAATATTCTCTGAGTAATATGTGGCTTATATCTAAATATATACACTATTTTAATAGGTAACAAAAACCTAGTTGTAGCAATGATTTTTGGAAGGGAAATATATGTTGTGATGATTTCTATACAAATGGAATGTTTTAAAACAAGAAAATGTGTCATTTACTTCAATTATGATGTACTTCAGAGCCTAAAATTTCAGCTTTTTATGACTTTCTTATATAAATAAATGATTTTCTCATATATATGGGATTTTTTAAAGTTGGAAGTATCCTAAAATATAGACATGCTTTATTTTGTATAGAATTAAAGTGAAAAAAGATTTGCAACTCATATTTTCAAAACATATATTCAGTATCTAAGATAAGCCTCATCATAATTTCTACTTTCCTTGATGTTATGTTTCAATCAATCCAACTAGAAGATATTAATATATGACTCAAAAAATGGAAGCCTAATTAGCATTGTGAAAAAAAAATCTACCTATTTCTACAAGGGTTGGAGACATTTTTAAAAATTTTTAAATCTATCATCACTTCAGAAAGGAAATCCTATGTGTTGGTAAGCAGTAGGTAGTAAGTATTTTACTACAGCATCAAAATGATCATGTACTCAGTTTCAGTTTTTCTTCAGAAATGTCAATAAAAAGTGTTATTGCTTTCAGCATGATATAACTGACTTTCTTATTTTTTATAGTTTGACTTTCTACTCAACTTCTTTTGAATTACATTAGTTTGTGGCAAAAGCCATAGCACTGAAATAATGATGCAAGATACCCACAGGAAATGTGTCAACTTAAACCAATGAATTCAATAAAATCATCTATTTAATTATTACAAACAAGTTCATGAAATTTTTTTCTGAAACATATTTGAAGATATTTTAGTGAATTTCCTAGTGACCCTGTCAATATACATCAGGTAAAATGACATGCAGCATATTGGTTAATAGTTTCATTGTAAAAAAAAAAAATAGTTTCAAACAGAAAAAATTCTTACCCCTTAGCTATGAACTACACCATCTGCCTTATTTGATGATACAGATATAAAAGGTCAAAATGGATGATATCTATTACAGCACATCAACTCTATTGTAACAGAGAAGGGACAAACGTAAACTGTAGCATCATCTTCATAAATGAAATAAAATGAATAGAGATTTCCAAGTAAATATAGCACCTTCACTCTAGTGCCACAAGGTATACAAATATAGCATCCACTGAAGCAGTATTTTAGGCTTGCAATGCCATAGATGGAAATTTATAATTTATTAATTTTAATAGAACATCCTATAACACAAATTCAAATAAAGACTCCCATATTCTAGACTGCTTAACATTATTAAATTTATTAAAATTCTGAAACATATTAATGTGATGCATTTTATACTATAATTCTTTTCACTTATAAATGTGTCATAAAAAACCAATATAGTAGTCCTCACTTATCCACAGAGGATAAATTCTAAGATCTTTAGTAGATGCCTGAAACCTAGGATAGTACTGAACCCTATATATACTGTGCATGAATTTCACAATTTCACAGACAGAAGATTTATTCTTACCATAAATTTTAGCAAATTCAGCATTTTATATTTCCTTGTTAAGTTGACAACTTTCACCTTTTCATTTAAAGAAAGCACTCTTCGGCTTCTCTTTGGCATATTTGAACTGTCAGAATCACTATTCTTTCCCTTTGGGGCCATGATTAAGTAAAGCAAGGGTGACTTGAACACAAGCACTGACATAACCATGACAGTTGATCTGAGAACCTAGACAGCTGCTAAGTGACTAACGGGCAGGTAGTGTAGACAGTGTCGATATGCTGCACAAAGGACAAATTTATGTTCAGGGTGGGATGGAGGGAGATAAAGCGAGCTTTTATCACACTACTCAGAGTAGCATACATTAAAACTTATGAGTTGTTTATTTATGGAATTTTCCATTTAATATTTTCAGACCACAGTTGACTGCTGGTAACTGAAGCCTCAGGAAGCAAAATCACAGATAAGGGCACATGACTGTAATTAAATGCTCTTTTAGGTACATGGTGAACCTATTTAAAAAAACTATTTTAAGGATGTCATTAAAAATGTCCTTTTTATCCAAATAATGACTATAGATGATTTTGATCATTCATTAAAGCAGGTTTATGATTCAGCCAATATTTAGCTTATAGTTAACGATGGCCACCAGTTCATTCATTCATCGACTGTGAATTTATGTAAACAACTAATACTTATGGAACACCTACATGTGCCAAATATGAACAGAATAAAGATATTTGGGCCAAATCATGTCCCCTGAAATTCACGTTGAAGCCTATTCCCCAATCACTGCCTCAGAATGAGACATATTTGGCTATAAGACTTTTAAAGAGGGCATTAACTTACAATGAGGTTATTAGCATGGGCTTTAATTCAGTCCGACTAGAGTCCCTATAAGAAGAGGAGATTTGGATGCAGAGAGATACCAGGAATGTGTACACACAGCAAAGAAACCATGTGAGGACACAAGAAGGCAGTCATCTGCAATCCAAGGGGAGGGGTCTCAGAAGAAACCAACCCTGTTAACATCTTGGACTTGATCTTGGACTTCTGGCCTCCAGAATGTCCAGAAAGTAAATTTCTGTTCTTTAAGCCTCCCAGTTTATAGTATATTTTTTATGGTAGCTCTAGAAAACTAATAATACAAAAGACATTTAATATAGACTTTTTCAAATAATATATAGCTAAGTCATTAAACCTCTCTCAAAGAAAATAATAATACCAACTCTTTGGAGAACTGCTACAAATATCAAATAAAATTATATATTGCAAAGTTTTTTCAATTTGAAATGAGTTATACATGTGTTGGTGGTTATTTACATTTTGCTGGATCATAGTTGTTATATCAAATCTTTTAAGAACCACCAAGGGTCATCTATTTGACTCTCTTCACTCTAGAAAGGCACTCACTGAATCTTTACAAATTATTGTTTAGTCTTAAAATATATTCTTTAAATCTTTTCAACACAAGAGAGCATACATATCCTTTAATAACACATTTCATTGCTTAAAACTATTTTACTCTCAGAAAACTCTCAACGAATTGAATCTAAGTCACTTCTATTACAATGTGGGCATAGTGCTCCTTACTGATCTCAGTGTAATGAGGTAAGTGAAGTAGAAATTGCCATTCATACACTGTACACATCTGCCCAGACAGATTTTTGCACTGTCATATATACAAGCATAAATAGACAGATATACACAAAGTGCTTAAATTTATGGATTTATCTATTTATTGCTTAGAAATATTGGCCTTAATTTGAATTACAAAGAATGAAGCTAAGCAATTGGAAGATTATCAGTCAGCCCTATAATCACTCAAAGATGTTGATTCCTATCACTACCTGAATGGATGTAAGCAAATTGCTAGACAAGTATAAGGAATTGTAATAAATGGAACTGACAGGATGCTAAATAATTTTTAAAGAACCAGTACATTAGGATTAAAAACCTCTAAAGAAAAAATAGAAAGGTATATTCACTAAATGTCTCTCTGAGTTTACATTTTACTATAGGAATCCCTTGAAGTTTTAGAAATAATGCATATTTTTTGTAGAGCTAGATAAACATTACACACATAAATGCAAAACCAATGAATTATAAAGTTTCACAAAGTGGTAAAGAAATTAATTTTTATTTATGTTCTCATTTTGTCTCAGCAGTAAGAGAAACTAAAGGTCAGTTCACTTTCTCTAACACATTTTCATGGACTAAATCACAACTCCATTATCATCCATGCTCAGATCAGCAATGGGAAGGATTTTTCCCTCCCATTTAATTCACATCTCATATTGTTATATGTGCCAAAGACATTTCTCATCTGAATTCTTCTGTTTGGCTGAGTTGGTTTTTCAAAGCAGAAGTGAAAAATGGCTACCAAAAGAACATTCAAATAAAGGCAACTGAGGAAAATTTGTCAAGCCTGAGAGGTAAAACTTAAGTACAGGGATCCTTTAGTTCATGGAAGTCACTGACAGAATATGAGTGCGCAACTCTGCCCAGCAGGATTTGCATTAGTAGATAAAGTGTTCTGAGGCATATGTCCATTTAAAAAGAAATGATTATATGTACCATGGAACCATACAATGCAGCAACAACTGGGCTTTAAAAAAGGGAAACAGCAAGCAGCCCATTATATTTTAGTGCATTTTAAGACTAATACACTCCCCCACTAAATGAATTTTATGTGTAATGAGCCTTATGAAAATAACTTATTTCTTGATTTTTCTTTCTTACTTTATAAACAGATATGCAGTTAAAAATGATAAGCAACTTCATCTTACCAACAGTACAATGGAAATCACATCAAATAACTTATTGGAAAAAATAAAATAAAATCTATTATGAGGAAAGAAATGTGACAGAGTAC